ATCTCATTGGTATTTATAGTTTCAATTGGAAATATTTAATTTTTTACTTTGCATCGTCGTTTACATTGCTATGTCTATCGTTTCCAAGGTTGAAAGTCCAGCAAACACTTTGGATTTTTCGAATGAAGATGATTCATTAATACTTGAAGATTCTGATGATGTACGTCAAAACATTCAATTTTTACAATGCAATGATGACAATATAACGGTTATGACTGGCAAAGAAAAAGAAACCACAAGAAAAAAATACGAGTGGACTATTCACAGCAAATGGGAGAGCTTGGACGAACTCGACGATTTCCTAACCGCAGAGGGCTATGTAATTTTTGATTACAAAGATCTTGTTTGCGGCCAAAAGTTTTACTTTAGGTGTAAAAAAATACCCAAAGATCGTAAGAGAGAAGATTGGTGTTGTCGACGTTATATTGTTTTTCTGCCGTCCGATTCAAACGAAGTAATTCTTCAAACAAACGATGAAGAGCACAATCATAACGAACTACTGAAAAGTATGAAAAATAGACCCATTTCTGAAGAAATGATCGAATTTATCCATGATTTGTATGGGAAGGGAACGACGAGAGCGGCTTCAGTTCTTCTTCATATCGATTCCGCTCGCAAAAAACAAAATATTTTTGTTGACGAACCAGATCCCAGTAGCCGGCAATTAGAATATTGCTTACGGAAGTACAGAAGAGGTGATACGGAAAAAATGATAAATTTAGGTGACCTCATGAGCTGGTGCGAGGAGAATTCAAATTATCCTACAAATGTTGATGACGCATTCGTTCTGTCGTACCAGTGTAACACTCAAGCAAGTAAAAACGGTTTTCGTTTTACACTGTCTACACCCCGACTGTTGGAAAGGCTGTCTACAATGCAAACCATATGTATCGATGCAACGTATAAACTCAATTGGATGGGTTTCCCCCTCATAATCCTCGGCACAGTTGATCGATTGAAGCGGTTCCATCCAATGGTGTACGCATGTTCGTCGAACGAGACGACCGAAGACTATGAATTTGTGTTTCGATCAGTGAAAGAAGCCATCGAAAAACATTTTCCAGATCGTCAATTTAGCCCAAAGAAACTCATAGCTGATGGAGCTGATGCCATTAGGAACGCATATTATAATGTATACGAAAATTCGGCTGAAATCGACATTATGTGTTTCGCGCATGTGATAAGAAATGTGAGGAAACGTCCGTTTGCGGCAAAGAACAATAAACCACTTATAGTTGATGACATACGCAAAATCCAAATGGCGCCGAATAAGAGTGTATTTGATCTAATGTCGGGGTTATTCTTGGATAAATGGAAAAATCAAGAACCCAATTTCGTTGATTACTTCAAGAAAGAGTGGTTGGGCGCACACTCCAACTGGTTTGAGGGTGCATCTGTATATACACCCTCTACCAACAACGCTTTAGAGTCTCATAATGCACTGATCAAAAGACAGATTACTTTTCGTCGACGGCTACCGTTAGAAGAATTTCTTATCGCCATGAAAAATATGACGAACGAAATTTCAAAACAGTTTGCTACTGAAAAACGAACCATTGCATCGGAACCAAATATAACAAGAAACCTAATGATGACATCAGCAGAAATGCAAACCGCTGGATTCAAAACATTCAAGGCCACTGCAAAATCTACCGGACGGACAGTTTATGTTCTCCCCTCAGCACAATGTCCAAAGGAAAACGCCACATTTACATATTATAAAAGTTTAACCAAACAACAGTGGAAATCTTTCGATCAGTATGTCACTTATGGCTACCAGATGTTTTGGTTATTAAATTTTGACGATGCTGAATGGAAAACGCAGTCAACATGTACGTGCCCAGTTTTTTTTAAAAACCATATTTGTAAACATATTGTGGCAATTGCGTTAAGAGAAGAAATTATTGAATGTCCCAGCAATGCGAACCCGATTCTACTTGCAGCAAGAAATAAGCCTGGACGAAAGAAAAATGCACACAAAAGCTTGATACGTCAATAATAAATACAATGCAACGTGAATAATGAAAAATACAATGTGAATCGTAATACAGACAGTTCTTCATGTAAGAAATAAAAAGGGCTTTGACCTCAATCTGAATACAATATGAATTTTACTATTTTTCTTCTCTTCTAAAATAAGGAAATTTCTGTATTTTTGGTCTGGTTTTCGGAAATATTTAGTATCTTTTTCGTAAAATTTGGTACGGTTTTTATAAATTTTAGTATGAATTTCGGATTGAATTTCGGACAATTTTGGGGGAATTTAGTCTGATATTCGTATTTTTTGGTC